TATAGCTCTAGCTTTTGAAGAGACTTGGGCAAATTCTGGGGCCTTCCATAGAGGGGTATTTTCCCCCGTTGGACATTTAGCAGATACTCATATTGAAGCATTATTCTGTCTTAATTGTATTCTGTAAACATGGGTGTGTAGCAGTGCATACAGGAATCCCCTATTTCGTACCCCCTTCCATTTGTATGATTCTTTTTTCCTTCTCAAATGATGAAAATAAGCTTAATATAGATCCATGGGTATCACTACTGGTTCATACAGCTAAAATAAAAATAAACACCTCCTTTTATGAAGTAGGAGGTAAGAGTGGCTACTAGAGATTTAGAATAAAGGAATACCTTTCTGTATAGTACAAGCTTTTTTTTTGGAAAAAAAAATATTGTAGCCTGGAATTTATAAGCTGCTTTAGTATGCACAGATTCCCAGCGTTGCTAAGGTGGCCAGAGCTTCATTAGTGACTCTGAGTTAATAACTGAGTTAAGCAATACTTTGGGAATTGGGCTGCTTACCTATAAATAAAAACTGTAATACGATCAGGGCCAAAGGAAAACTTACCTGAAATGGTAGGCATGATCAGGAATACACCTGAGCTAAAAGATTCTCTTTGTTTTAATAAGATAAGAAGTTCATTCCTGCATTTCTGCAAAATGATAGCTTCAGTCAAAATCTTAAAATATGGAAACATGTAAAACATAAGAAAAAGATATGAAACATATCTTTTGTCCAGCTGGTGAGACTCAGTGGTTGATCGTCAACCTGTGAGCCAGGAGGTCACAGTTCTATTCCCTTTGGGGCACATGCCCAGGTTGTGGGCTCAACCCTAGTACGGGGCATGCAGGAGGCAGCTGATCAGTGATTCTTTCTCATTATTCATGTTTCTGTCTCTCCTTCTCCCTTCCTCTCTGAAGTCAATATATTTTTTAAAAATAAAACATACCTTTATTTTTCTTTTTACTTTTTATTCCGCCCCTCTCCCCCAATCAAAAAGCATATCTTTTATAGGGAGAGTGGCCTGACACATTTTAAAGTGTATATATCATTTTGGCATATACAGAAATCTATATTTGCATAAATAACATAGCTTATCCATGTTAAGTCATTTCAGTTTGGAAATTATTAGTGAGAAAGCTAACAGTTAGTCTTGCATATGCTTTTTTCTTCAAAAGAGAATAAGTTTACCTTTGTGCTAA